GCTTAGATGTGTTTCTTGTATGCAGCAGAAGGATGGGTTCTGTCTTCATATCCATTCTGTTAGCCTGTGTCTTTTTATAGGTGTGTTAAGACCATTAATGTTGAGGATGAGTAAGGACCATTGATTGTTAATGCTTGTTTGTTTTAGATTTGTTGTTGGCAGTGGTATTGTGAATATATTTGTATTGCTTCACCCTTGGTTTCTTATGTAGTGAGATTATCTGTTGCCTATGTCTTTGTGGGAATAGTTAACTTCCTTGGGTAGTAGTTATCTTTCCAAATCTTTCTGTAGGGCTGGATTTGTAGATACGTATTGTGAAAATCTGGCTTTGTCATTAAATATCTTGTTCTCTCCATCTATAATGATTGAGAGTTTTGCTGGTTATAGTAGCCTGGGCTGGTATCCGTGGACTCTTAGTACTTGTAGAACATCTGTCCAGGACCTTCTGGCCTTGGGGGTTTCCATGGAGAATTCAGGTGTAATTTTGATAGGTCTGCCTTTATATGTTACCGTCTTTTTTCCTTCGCTGATCTTATATTCTTTCTTTTTTCTATATGTTAGGTGTTTTGATTATTGTGTCAAGGGGTCTTTTTTCTTTGGTCCATCCTATTTGGTGTTCGGTATGTTTCTTGTACTTTCATAGGCGTGTCCTTTTTCAGATTGGGAAAGTTTTCCTTGATGATTTTGTTGAATATGTTTTCAGCACCTTTGAGCTGGGCTTCCTCAGCTTCCTCTATGCCTATTATTCTTAGGTTTGGCCTTTTCAAAGTGTCCCACATTTCCTGGATGTTTTGTGTTAAGGATTTGTTGGATTTATGATTTTCTTTGGTTGATGAATCTATTTCCTCTAGTTTATCTTTCGTGCCTGAGATTCACTCTTTCATCTCTTCAATTCTGTTGGTTATGCTTCCATCTGTACTTCCAGATCATTTGACCAGTTTTTCTATTTCCACCATTCCTTTGGTTTGTGTTGTCTTTATTTTCTCTATTTCAGTTTTCAAGTCTTGAACTGTTTCCTTCACCTGCTTAATTGTTTTTTCTTGGCTTTCTGTACTTCCCTTAAGGAATTTGTTCATTTCTTTCACTTTTTTGTTTGTTTTTTCCTCCATTTCTTTAAGGAATTTTCACACATCTTCTTTGAGGGCCTCTATCATTTGTATGATGGTAATTTTTAAGTCGTACCCTTCTGCTTCCTCTGCTTTGTTGTTGTGTTCCATTCTAGTTGGTGTAGATTCCCTAGATTCTGGTGGTGTCATGCTTATCTTTCTGTTGTTAGGTGTTTTCTTGTATTGCTGTCTTCCCATAGCTTCTTCCAGTAGATGTCGTTTGGGTCTCTCCCTCTCTATATATTATTGTCCCTGTGGGCTTAGGTGGGTCTGAGTTTCGATATCTGTAGCTATGTGTGGTCCAAGCTCTCTCGGATGTTTCTCCACAGGCAGGAGTCCGGGGATGGGGGTCAGTGATCATGCTCCAGCAGAAGACTGGCAATGGGGGTCAAATATCCTGAAGGCAGGGACTCAGGATGTTCCTTGTGCCTATAGGCAAATCTAGCCTGGGCATAACACTCTCTAGCTGAGGCCTCTTTAGGAGAGGTCCTATGATGGGGGTCAAGGATCCTGCTGGCAGGTACTCAAGAGTGGTCCCACAAAGATAGGGTCCCAGAACTCCAGTAGAGGACCAGCGGTGTGGGTCAGAGACCAGGCAGGTGGAAATCACGGGTGGTCCCGCGTGGATAGGCAGATCTCTTGTGTTCTGAACCGCTCCCAGAAGTTCCCTGAAGGTGTCTGGATTGTTGGCTTCACCCTCTGTTCACCCTCAACCAGAGCAGTGGGACAGTGGGCAGGGTAGGGCACAGGGTAGAGGGAGGGCAGGCTCTCGTTGGGGGTCAGGGTAGGTGTATCAGGGCTCCAAGAGCACTCTCAATGGAGACAGGACACAGGGGCAGAGGGATACGGTGCCAACCCAGGGAATTCCAGAAGGGTGTAGGGGAGAGTCCACCCGAATTGGTCCCAGACTCACCTCTAGGCACGGCCTGGCGATGGGGGACAAAGGCTGGGCTGATACTCAGGATGTTTCTGCACTGATAGCTGGAAGCTATTTCTTCTTGCAATTTGTATTCACCACTGATAAATATGTATATTTGCACCACAACTGATAAAATATTTAATAACACAAAACCCAAATGACTTTCCTGTGCATTCTTTCAGTCTATATCATCTTGTTTCTCCATAACCAGTGCGACCTCAGTGCATGGCCAGAGCTGTTCAAGTCTGACTACTTCACAGATTTTTAAATACCCCTATTTTGTCTTTCTGATCATATTAATAAGTTAATGACTACATACTGCAACAACTACATCCTTTATGTAGTCAAAATTATTTCTTTTAACAGTTTAAGAAATTATCTGTCATACACAAAAAATCCTATTCTGATATACTCTTTTTGCTTTAACTTTTTATTTAGATGTTATTTAAGTGTGTGTGTGTGTGTGTGTGTGTGTGTGTGTGTGTGTGTGTGTGTGTTGCATGGGAAATAAGATTCCATGGCACAATATTGGCTGATTGATGTTTATTCAGGGGAAAATCACTTACACCAGAAACAGATGACCACTAACCACAGGCTCCTGTTTCAAGGATGCCTCCCGATGCTCTCTGCATCCACAATGAAGGAAGAGAGGTATCTGGGGTCCAAGACCACAAAGTCTCACACCAGGTCATGGCCCACCTGTCCCCACTGCCCCAATGGGTGTGGTCAGTGCAACAGTTGCGGGCCAGGTGGATATCTCACTGTGTGTGTGTGTGTGTGTGTGTGTGTGTGTGTGTGTGGGTGTGTGGGTGTGTGCATGTGAGTGCAGTTGCCTTTGGAGGCCAGAGGTGTTGGACACCACTAGACCTGAAGTTATCAGCAACTATGAACTGTCCATTGTGGATCTTGGGAGCTGAACATGGGTCCTCCAATGAAAATACACACTCTTAACCACTGATCCATTTCTCTAGCCCTCTAAGCTATATATTTTTAATTATCTATTCTTCTACTACTCTGGGGGTTTTATAATGAGAGGGGAGTGTGGTGACTTGCTGCCTAGTCAGGCTGCCCTCTTACTTACTACATAGCCTAGACTTTCCTTTAACTCATACTCTTTTTGCATCCACCTCTCAAGTTCTGAAATTACAGGCATGCATCTCCATGCCCATCTCTAGACTCAGATACTGTCTCAAAATCTTTTATTTTTCTAAAGTATATTTTAACATAAGAGTTAGTGCCATGGAGAGTGGAGGAACTCATGAGGACTTATTCATAACCAAAGAGCTATTGCTGCTTTTTAGGGGAAGAAAAGTCTGTTTCCTTTAAGGATGTTAGACTCTGGTAAACTGACCATGGTCTGGTGGCTGACCCCACACTCATAAATATATAGATAACAGAAATTGGAGTTGGTAAGTTATTTGAAAAAGAGATAGGACATAAATATTGGAGGAGTTAAGAGGAAGATTGGAGGATAGACATGATCAAAATATATTTTATATTTGTACAAAATTATCAAATAAATACTAAAAGAAATGAAGGCTCAGCTTCATTTCTTTCCCGGGCAGCCATATTTTTGAATTACCAGTCTCATCTCCAAGGGTTTAAAATGCCCACTTTATGAATTCTAAATCTCTGTATGTATTTCATTCTATTTCTGAAGTTATCTGCATATCTCCACTGTCACCATTCTTCTGTTCATGCTGAGCTATTTCAGAGGAAGAGAAAGAGGGAGACAAAAGAAATTGAGAATTTTTATTCTTTTGTTTGTGGAAAGAGTTCCTATATTTCAAACAAGATTACATTTTTTTTTTTAGAAAGAGATTTAGTTTTAACTGTATGGTGTTTTTCCTGAATATACATCTGTGCACCATATGTGTACCATGCCTGGTACCTGATAATGCCAGAAGAGTGTGCTGTATGCCCTGGGACAGGAGTTGCTATGAGCTGTCACATGGATGCTGAGGATTAAATTCAGGTCTTGCAGAATAGCAGCAACTTTTTAAGTCCTAGACCAACTCTCTAGTCCACAATAATACTACTTTTAAGATTTATTGACCAAGCCCTAAATCATGCTTAAAATTCCCTTGTACATTACTGTTCTAAAAGCCAGTATTGAAACAGCCATGTTTATTTATAGAAATATATCATTGTCTAGATTTATGTTAATTGATGAATTAGTTGATTCATCTTAATTGGCTAATTATAATTGTTGGCTTTCTTCCAATTCCCCCACTAGACATAAGAGGTAGTATTTGCTGATAATTTATTTACTAGAAAGCATGATTGAGCTAGAAACCATATATTGGTACTTTTCAAATTTGAGAATCACTTGGAAGGCCTGTGAAATGCAGATTACTGCCACTTTCTTTTTTGCATGGTGGTGGGGGGCTCTGGGTAGTTCTGGCTGTACTGGAACTCACTCTGTAGACCAAGCTGGCCTTCAAAACAGAGAGATCTGCCTGCCTCTGCCTCCCAAGTTCTGGGATTAAAGGTGTGCACCACAACCTCCCTCTTACCAGTTTCCTTTCTGAGTAAAAAGTCAGGGATGAAGCCTGAGGCTAGTCCTTTCTAAGTTGATCTATACAATGACTCACTTTGCTTTCTGTCTTAAATATTTAGCAATAGTCTAACTATATTCCTATTTGTGAGCTCATGGTTTTAAGACATTACATATAGGACAAATCCCTTGTTTTTTAAAAATTAAAGTAAAGCTGGATATGGTCACACATTTGCTTACAATCATGTCACATGAGAGGCTAGGGCAGGAAGATTGAGAATGCCAACCAAGTCTGAGTTACATAGCAGGACAGTATCTCAAACAAAAGAAAACAGTAATTGCTTAACTTGAAATGTCAAAGTGGAAACAATGGCACCCGAGACTTTTACATAAGAAAATAGATGTCTCTTACTTTTTCTTTGCCTTGCTTCTGTCCACTTTCATCACTAAAATGTTATTTATTTTTTCTGTTGTACAGACTAAGGAAACTTTGTGAGCTCTATGCAAAAGTTCTGAACTCCCAAGAAGCTCTGCAGGTAAGGCTGTTTCCCAGCCTTTCTCTAATGGGAATGGGCCAGGTTTTTGTCAGTAGAACCATGCAGCTCATCTTTTCCTTATAGATTCACAGAAGGGTCTGTACATGTAGGGTTGATGTAGAAATGGTTTCATGAAGTGTGAGTGAACCCTGGCTGTGCAGGTGATGAGGCAAGGAAGCTATGACATACTCGGTTTATGTAGTGCTTCTTTTGCCCCTAAATTTAGATTTGTTCCCAGAGCAGGCTTTTAATTAACGTTTTCCAGTGCTGTATGAAGTGGTTGATTGGAGAACTGTAGAAAAGAGGTTGTTTTTGTATTTTCTACAAGGTATCCAGTTTTCACTTGAGAAAGTCTTCCAAAAAGGATATTGATGATTAATTTTTGATGCTGGGAAGATGTTGCATCACTGTGGCTTCAATATCTGGTTGTGAGAGAAAAATATTCCTTGGAGGAAGGAAAAATGAAAAATAAAATCACCCATACACTGCATTTGTATGGCATTTATATTGCATTGTGTACTATAAATAATCTGGAGGTGATTTAAGGTATAAGGGGTGTATGCACAGCTTACATGCAAACACTACACCACCTTCTACAAAGGCCTTGGGTATCTCTAGGAAGCAGGGAGTCTTGGATCACTGACCTTCAGATTCCAAGGGAAAGTTGCAATTTGTTCTGTACAATGATGTCTACTAGCATGAGTTCTATATACAAAAGACAAAATACCTTCTTCTGATTCTCTTTTAACCCTTTGTCCCTCTTCCTTACAGCCAGTCCATTATGAGGAGAAGAACTGGTGTGAGGAGCAGTACTCTGGAGGCTGCTACACAACCTACTTCCCTCCTGGTATCATGACCCAGTATGGAAGGTACTACCCAATCACTGCCCTAACTCCTGGGCTGGCACATACACAAACAAACCATGTTTAATAAATAGAAGTGTACTGAGCTGTGACTGGAAGCCCTGCAATTGAAGCCAAGCTCCAACTAAGTTACCACATTTTTTCCTGCTTTTTGCTTTCTTGTCAACACCAGAAAGAAAGAATATCCCCTGTTTCTTTTGAAACTTCACAAAGGAAGCTGCCTGTTACTGTACCAGTTTTGTTGTTTCCATTCTTCATTCCTCTAGAGAAGCAAACTCAGTCAATACAACCAGAGAAAGTTGATACACAGGGAGCACTTTACATAGCCACATGATTTGTTCCGACTGGCAGTACAGTGTCCTAATATTGAGTTTAGAACTCAGTAAACTTCCCCAAGCATCCCTCTGTGTCAGTGTGAGCATGGCTCTGTAAATTCAGAATCAATTCTATATCAGGCAGGAAAGGGCTTGGCTTCCTATTCTGTTCCTACTCATTGCCTATTCAGTCATTTATTGTTGGATTTACTTTCCTTAGCATGTGCATGAGAAACACAAGATAACGTGATCATTGCCCGAGTTATGCTTTAGCAACTTTATTCTGTTTATAACATACGGTATGACCCACTCACTCAGAGTTCACACAGCACTGGTGCTGAGTTCAACACATTTGATGACAATAACAAGGTGTGAATTAATGGCAATTACTCTGACTCTCCTAGCAACACTAAACTAAATAGGGAAAGAGAATGAAAGGGTGTTGAGAGTACAGCAGAGTGTTAGTGGATGAAGGCAACTAATCATGCTTTCCATGAGAACCAGCGGAAGAAGGGTTAACACTTGCTTAGCAGAAAATGATTAATGACTCTGGAGATCATGTTCCCTATCTGCCTATGGATGCCAAAATAGAATCCAAAGAAAATCTGAGGATGAATGGGTACTTCCCAAAAACTCCTGAGTCATTAGGTTACGTTGCAGATATGCTGTGTGTAGACTAAGCCACAAGTGGTTATTTCTTTCATTGTGTAGTGGATAAGTGCGGACCATTTTTTAAGATGTCAATATGATACTTCCTTGCTGAGGAGTTGACAGTGTTTGAGGCAATGGTGGGAAGCAGAGGAAGGATAGAACTTAAAGGAAAGTATTAAATTATCAGCTCCAGTGCTTTAGTTAAGGGGTATAAAGCTATCCTGAGGACCCATGGAATTGCAATCTCACCTCACCTAGAGAAATGTGCAGTGGCTGCATGTCAGGTGGTAAGGGGCACAAGAAGCTTCCTGGGGAATGCAGTCTAGGATGAATGCCATGGAAACAGCCATTGTTCAGAATCCTGTAAGTTCTTATGAGGTCTTAGGCAAAGTCAGGTATAATGGAGCTGTAAGCGATAATGATGACAGAATGACAAGGATCAGAGATGGAGAAGTGGCTTAACAGTTAAGAGCACTTACTACTTTTACAGAGGACCTACCTGAGTTCAGTTGCCAGCACTGCCATGAGGGGGGTCTCACAACACCCTGTAACTCTTGCTCTAGGGACCTTTCAACCTCTGTGGGGACCTTCATTCACATGCACATAAGTAAAATTTTTAAATCAAATAAAATGTTCAGGTTCAAACCAGAAAGATCGGTAGGATCATCTGTTTTCCATAATAATTCTGAGGATGACTGAGCCCAAGAAGAGACTGTTTCACAGGATTTTCCTGACACTGAAGGGCCATGATACCTGGAAGATTGGAATGGGTTTTGTTGTTAGGGCTCTAGATGTATTCAACAAGTGTTCTGCTTCTGTGAAACATCTCTTCTTGGGCTCAGTGCTGTCTTTAGGCTGTGTGTGCCTTAGTTTCAACATTATTATATGAAACCTGACACACATCCATGAGAAAGGACAATGATGAAAGGTATTACCATGTTATCACCAGTGCTTGATGTGCTGTGGTTTGCCTTCTTCTCACATTCAATACAAGGCCTGATAAATTAAGCATTCTTTGAGCTCCTCACTGGCTACAGCATTTTCCTCCTAGTCTATGGGACTGAGCATAGAGCTCAGCATTCAGTGGCCAGACATTAAATCACACCACACTTTGGACTTAAAACAAACCTCAAACCCAAATCAATGTAGTGGTTAAAAGACAAATTTTTATAACCTCAGAAATGTCACAGGATGGAAACTGTCTTTCTGTTTAATCCTTGCTTTTTACCTTTTTTACATGCAATTGTTAGATTGGTTGGTTCTCTGCATCTTAGTCTTCCAATCTTTAACTAAGGTTTGGCCACAGTACCCCCCTACCAGTTCTCCAGCTCGCAGTTCCTTCTGTTGCAAAAGGTGAGCATACGCTGCAATGCCTCATAGCTTAAAAAGGGTAAATATACCTTCTATCCCTGGAAACAGTTTCTGAATGCTCCCAATCTCCCAATAATGAGTTCATGAATGCATGGTAGTTTTTACTAGTACTCTCTAGTATCTCTCTTTATAGTCCTTTGGCTTTTGTATGGCTATGATAAATACTTGTAAAAGAAAACATAACAATTCAAGTAAAACTGTTAAATTTTCTGCTAAGAGGCCCAGCAACATGCCATATTAAATGGGTTAGCTTTTTTTTTCCAGTGGACCAAGTACTTGATAAAAAGAACTTTTTTTTTTTTTTTCATGAATTGGAGGTATCAATCTGTAATGATGTGGACAGCAGGTTAGAACATTTGGAACAAGCAGGATGAAGAGCAGAGAAGTAATAAGGGGACAGGGTGGTATACAGCCTCCAATGACACATACATGTATTTTCTCTAATTGGCCCCATCTTCCACAGTTCTACCACCTTGCAATAGTCTGTTCTCACTGTGAGTCCGTCAATGAAGACCAAATATTTCCTGGAAACTCTTGTAGACATGTCCAAAAGGGACAAGTGTTAACTGACATAAGCATTTGTTCTGAACTCTGGATATCCCTTTTCTGATCATGGAAGCCTGAAATGGGATGACAATGACGCTGGTGGTACTTCTTTTATAGTGTCTTTGTAAGATGACAATGGGCTTTCCTTCTTTTAGGCTAAGTACCTGTGACCTTTCCATCTCTTTGCTTAGCATGTGAGCACTCTGGATACTTTGATGGTAATATATTAGGTAACACAGAGATGATAGAAATGTTGACATCTGCTAGTCATATTTCAAATGCTTCTCCTGATGTTTATGATCACTGTGGCTCTGGCTGAATCACTGCACATTTCTATGAGCTTGTTTGCTTATAAATGTGAGATGTTAACTAGTGGTCTGCCATGGAGTTCTTAAAATGATTGGTATAGCATGAATAACAAAAGCCCAGAGGGAGGTATTGGGTTTCAAGCTGAAGATCAGAAAAGCAAAGCTGCCAAGCCACTAGAGAGTTCTTACCTCTAACAAGGCTAAAATAAAAGAGGGATGATCCTAGCATGAGTGAGTGTAGACTGCAATGCTCTCCACCAATCTCAGACTGCACTGAACTCCTGCCTTATATTCTTCTCTAGTGCTGGGATTAAAGGTGTGTCATCCCAAGTGCTAATTCACTCTCATGTAGCCCTGGGTGGCCTTGAATTCACATAGATACTTCTGCCTCTGTCTCCTGAGTGCTGGGATTAAAGATGTGGACACCACTGCCTATCCACTATGGCTAACTAGTGGATTAGGCATGTGGCTAACTAGTGTATTGTGTGTGTGTGTGGGGGGGGGCTAACTAGTGGTTTAGTTCTGCACTCTTATCCTCAGGCAAGCCTTATTTGTTAGATTTCAAACAAAATGTCACTACAGATTAGAAAGAAAATAGATTAGAGTATAGAGATGACATGTAGCAAAGTAACCAAGACTATGTTGGAGTTGGTAGATCACGTGGCTTCAAATAGTATATTTGCTACTTGCTGCTTGTAAACTAGAGAAAAGCACTTCTGCTATAAAATATTAGCTTAATATGTGTTAATATGTGTTACATATTACATATTATACTGTGGGATATTTGTTTAATGATGCAAAGGCATGTTACATTTGTTTGATTAAATAAAATCAACCTGGGGTCAGGAGGTTGAGTCAGATACTAACTGACAGGAAGTGATAGGGATGAACCATGTGTAGCTAGGGTTCTTAAGTGGGGGCCGAGCAGGACACCCTTTTTGCAGGGAGATGTAAGAAGAGAGGTTAGCTACTTGATATTCAGCCTGTCTGGAAGAGCAGAATTTCACCACAGCCTCTGAATCCCAAGTTCTACAGAGGGATAGAGATCTAAATAAATTTCCCTTTAGTGGCCTTGACAGAACTGGTGCTTAAAGCAACAGGATTCCTGCCAGTCTATGGCCAGTGTATCCAAACCACTGCTGGTAGCTATGGAGTTGCAATTGCCGAATGCAACAGCAGTTGCTTAAAGGGCAACTATTGAATTTAATGAAAAACAACACAGTTCATCTTTGACGCTGGTTAGGTTCTAGGAATCAGACACTGAAGCAATCCATAGACAGGATAGATATTAGACTGTGTCCTTAAGATTGACATTTATGGAATGAAGAGGAAGGAAGCAAGAGTGGGTGAAAGGGCAAGCCAAGTGATGATGCAGTTTCAACAAAGGTGCCATCTGACCCCATGCAGCATTCTGAGAGTAGAATGGTCCTTCTAAGTGGTCTCATGTTGGAGTTTGGGGCTTGCAACTTTAAAGGCTTATTTATATGTCATCCACTGGAAGGTGCTGGAAAGAGTCATGAGATCCATTTATCTAGTGAAAATAGTCACCTCCAATAAGTATCAGCCTCAGAGTACCATCTTCTGGAAGCACCTCCATCAAAAAATAAGTACTTCATTCTTGATGGTGCATCACAGTACCTACCACAGTCTGCCTCTGCATTCACCTCTGCAAAATGTGAATAATAATACTATTAGGGTTGTGGTGAGGAGCAATGAACTTTGAAGAGTTGGTGCCCAATAAATTTTAGCTTAAAGGTTGATGCCATAGTCCTGAAACTTAGTGAGTAGTAGATAATCAATCCATTACACTCATTTTTTTCTTCAGTTTCCTTATTGGAAACTCTCTTAAAAATCATTAGACTTTCCCTTTAAGAGATAGCTGGGGATGTAGTTCAGTATTGGAGCACATGCCTAGTATACAGAAAGCCTTGGGTTCCATTCTGTACCATCCAAAAACAAAACAAGTTACTAGAAAAACAGAGGAAGAGGGCAAAGCTTGGTGAGAAGAAACTCTCAAGTTTAATGTTAGAATAACAAGGTCAGTAATCAGACGAATTTGTCACCTTCCTGGTAAAAAGGGAATCATTTGTGACTGGGCTTATTCAGTCCCTCACTTTATAAGGATAATCAAGTACATATTTTGTTCCCATTGATGAAAGATCATTTCCCTGTTGTCTCTTGGTACAGTACAGTGGGAACTTCAGTTTCTGTTCCATTTTGTCCATGACAGAGATAATACAATAGCTGAGGCATGTGAGGAACATTCTACATAGTCAGTGTCCTCCTAAAAGTTTTTAACCTGAAGAAGCCAACTGTCCTTGTTCCCCATGAGAAAACTCATTTCTGGCTGTATGCAATGTCATTTACTACTTTGCTTTTGTTCTCAGGGTTCTACGTCAACCAGTAGGCAGAATTTTCTTTGCAGGCACTGAAACTGCCTCACACTGGAGCGGCTACATGGAGGGGGCTGTGCAGGCTGGGGAGAGAGCTGCCAGAGAGGTAGGACCCAGGACCATGGGCAATGGGGGAGCAAAAATGCCAAAGCATGATAACCAACTCAAAGATGCTTGAGATCTTGGCAGTATCCCCCCACACACTGTATTCTAAAGATCAGGGATACCATAGCAATTTTAGGGAAAAGGAACACTTCCATCAAACAAAATAATGAAAATATCTAATATTTCACTTAAGTATGGGTCAGAACTCAACTGTACTTAAGAGGTGTTGGGAGGAGAGATGGTTTAGTGGTTAAGAGCACTTCTTATTCTTCAAGAGGACCTGAGTTGGGTTCTCAGCACCCATGTTAGGAGTCTCACAACTGCCTGTAAGTCCATTTCCAGGGGATACACCCACCATCTTTATAATTTAGAGGCCATCTGCACATCAGACACATAGGTGCACAGAACTACAAATAGGACAGATCTTTAAGAATAAGGGGTCTGGAAAGGTGGCTCTGCAGCTCAGAGCACTCATTGCTCTTGCAGAGATGTGACTCCCAGCAGTGATATTCAGTTCTAGGGGAATGGATGCCCTCTTTTGATCCCCAAAGCTTCCTTCAGGCACCTGATGCACTTACATATACTCAGCAAGCACACAAACAGATGCATTTTTAAAAGTTTTGTTTTTAAGTAAAAACAATCACTTAGCTTAATGTTATAGAATCAAAAAACATTTTTATTAGGATTCAAAATTCACATTTATTCTTTTTTTGGCAACTCTTCTAGTCTCATTAAGATATGTTTGCAAGTATTAAAATTTATGGTGAAGCTAATGATTTAACCCTTTTATACCATAAATAAAATATCTTTGGGGGTCTGTCTAAAGATCAAGTGGATTGCTCTGCCCTTTACCTTGACATTGTTGATAGATATCCTAAGATGTGTTCATTTAATTCTTTTTTTGAAAGAATAAAAGAAAGATAGTATCTGCTTTGCTATTTGCCAAGGTAATCTTTCATTTCAGATTCTGCATGCTGTTGGGAAGATTCCAGAAGATGAGATTTGGCAGCCGGAACCAGAGTCTATGGTAAGCTGTATTTCCCAGATTTATGTCTTTACTCTAAGAATGATTGTTCCCATGCATACACTTGTATATATGCACATTCCTTTTCCTAATGATATGATGTATGGATATCTAAGTAGACCACATGACTTAGAGGTCACAGCTTTAGATGATCTTTAACTAATTTGTAGTGCTATATCTCTTGCAGACTAATAGGAAAAATATTATTTTTATCATAAAGAAATAGTTCCCAGAGAGCTCTAGACATATTAAGAAATAAGTGGAGAACAGGGCATTGCACAATGGCAGAATGCTTGCTTAGCATGTCTAAGATCCTGGTTTGATCTTTAGCAAGACAAGAAACAAAGAAAACAAAGAGAGGAAAAGGAAAGACAAAAACACTCCCTCAAAATAAGAACTCAATCATAAAATCTTCAATGTCTGTTGAATGATCTGACTTACTTATTTTCAACAAAAGGTAATAAAAAAGGTTATTATCCTCTTTCCAGGAATCGTGAGGTGGAACAAAATGGAACACACTTAAACTGACTTCAACTACATTTCTTTTTGTAATAAAGCCATAGTCTTTTTTGCAGACTCAGAGGAAGGATACATAGAGTCACAGAGAATGGTGATACAAAAAATAACCAATCACTCTTCTATCCTTTTAAGCCTGAAGCCATAGAAGATATCCCTGACATTCTAAAATTATTGTCCTAGTGCTTCTTCTAGAATCAGGATGGCAGGCTGAGGGGAACATTCATTCATCCTCCTCAACAAAAACATTCATGATGTACATCGGCTATTGTCGTCTGAGAGAGACAGTGATTTCAGATGGGAAGATGGAGAATAACCCCAAAAGTACAATTCTGACAAAGGATATGCTGGGAGACAATATGAATAGTAGAGCCATCTCAGCCTGGAAGCTGCAAAGGGAGGACTAATAAAGTAACATTAAGGGCCAGGTGAAGAAGAGGGGGTTAGTCACAAGCAGATGTCATATTTATACCACAGATGTTGGAACGATTGGGTTACTCTTTAAAAACAAATATGAAAGGAATAGTTTCTGGGATGGCATGCACAACCCTGTACTGACACAAATGTTCTCTGAACACAGGATGTTCCTGCACAACCCATTACAAGCACCTTCATGGAGAGACACTTGCCTTCTGTGCCAGGCCTGCTAAAACTGCTTGGATTGACCACCATCTTTTCAGCAACAGCTCTTGGTTTCCTGGCCCACAAAAGGGGCATGCTTATGCGTTTCTAAAGATGAGCCTTCCACATACAGTCTTCTCATTCTGTGTGGTATGAAGGCTTTGGGAAGGGGTTGTTATAAAATCTTAAAAGACACAGAAAATGAAGCATAGTAACTTGTTTTCCATTTTGGTTGCTTGTTAGCACCCCTACTGTGTTCTTCCCATTTCCATCATTTCTGCCCTCTGAACTTTTAGAACAGATACACAGACTTGCTCAAGTTCCTTGCTTGCTCACAACTTAACTGGCTGTGCAAAGTTTTTCTTTTTTTTCCAAAACTCAATGGCTTTGTGCCTTTCTTTCTTCCTGTGTGTTATGTCCTTACCTATTCAAGTCCATTGCATTTGTGCTTACAATTCTGTCTTGTCACAACTGGAGGACATTAAATACCACCTGAAGCTCATCCTTTATTTTAGAATTGAATAAACCAAATGCAATAGAGGTGAAACTTACTCCACAAGGTCTACAGTAAGCCCCCAGTATTTGGGTGACTGGAGAGGATACAAGTTGATGCTTTCCCCACCTCCCAAGATGTATTTCCCAATCATCCTCTACCGTATGCCATCCGTAGTCACTGGTGGTTGTTTCTATGTGGATTTACTCTGTATTAACTGGTATCATGCTACTCAGTAGATATCATGTGGTTTTGCTATTTTGTGGTGTATTGCCAACTGATTTTTATTTTTCTTGAGGGTGGAAGTCTTATCTTTCTCATTCTTTTGTATCCTCCATTATGCTCCCATTCATAGATTAAGACACACTTAGGTAATTAAAAATAAAGCTGCTTCATCACATGTTTGCTGCTTTTTCTTTTCAGACAATGACTTTCAAGGTTTTGATAAATCAAAAAAAAAATGTTTGATAAGCCAAAAGTCTGCCAAAAAAATAGACACTAACTAACATAAGACGCAGAACCTTTTAAAATAATTATAATACGTCAGTTGACCTTCATATTTCATATCAGTGTGGTGTTCTTTACCAGGTAAACCCATTAATTGAAAATTATAATGTCACAGTCCATTAAGTCCTATATAAACTACTCTTTTTTTATTTATTTTATATAACCAAGTCCATTTAAATGAAAACAAACATTTATAGACAATACTTGGGTTTGGGAATTTGGGTGTTGTTCTTTCCAAACTACTTCCTGCTGGTAAGGGGCGCTGTCATGGGGGATTCTAAGAAGATGCAGAAATCCTGGCTCTAGTCTGTAGGGATGCTTTGTTCAGCTGATAAACTACTCTTTAAATGACATCATTTTGAAGAGCTCATCCCTCTTGACTCCCAGGATTAATAAAAAATACTAGAATTTCTGATCCTACTACAATGATATTCATGTGCATGGATTTATGGGAACTTTAGAAACTAAATGAGGAAAATAAAGAACCTATTAAGAATTTGTATCTGTTTTGAGTTTTCTAAATCCATTTAAAATGTACTGCTGGGGTTAGTGTAGTTACTCAGTGGTGGGACACTCAAGCAGCATACCACAGCCCTAGCGTTTCATCCGAAGCAAGAACAAAACAAAACTAGTAGATGGAGGACAGAAATTGGAGTAGTTAGTAATCAATGAAATTACTGTAGTTGTACTGTGTTTGTGACGTAAATTATAGGATCATTTTTTGTTTGTTTGTTTGTTTAAGACAAATGGATAGCTGGCCCTGGTGGCTCACACCTAAGTTCCCAGCACTTGGAAAGATTTAAGATTCAAAACCTGCCTAAGTATAGAGAAAAACCTACCATAAAATAAATACTAGAAGGCTAGGGGTTAATCTCAGTTAACAGGGTGCTTGCTTAGGAGTGTATCTTAGTTAATAGGGTGCTTGCTTAGCCCACACCAATAATCCCTAGGTTATATCTCCAATATTTCATAAAACTAGGCATGATAGTGCATGTCTGTAATCCCAAGCACTTGAGAAATGAAAGCAGGAAAATTGGAAGTTGAGGCTCTGTAAAAGTAAGGTTTTTCTGCCCGCCTTTGGTCTTGTCCTGCAGCTGCGCCAGCCCCAATTAATGCACAGAGACTCTGTATTTGATATAATGCTGTTGGCCAGGTACTAGTTTCTTATCGGCTAGCTCTGTCTTAAGTGTTAACCCATTTCTGTTAATCTACCTTCTCCAGACTCTCCTTCTTGACCCCTCCTTACTACTTCCTCTTTTCTCCTTGTCTCCTAGTCCCTCCTATCTTCCTTTCCTATTGGCCAACAGTGCTTTATTCATTAACCAGTATGAGAACCATATATACAGAATGGCATCTCCCATCATCGCTCATAAGATGTATGTCAAGCCTGAGATGTATAAGACACAAACTGAAGGAGACAATGTAAACCAATATGGAGAATTCTCAAAAATCTAAATGTAGATCCATCATATGGGCCAATTATATCACTCTTTACCACCATATGTGCCAAGGACTCAACATCATAAACCACAGATACTTGCTCAGCCATGCTCAATTCTGCTCTACTGACAATGGTTAATATTGGAAACAACCTAAAGTCCTTCTATTGATGAAAATATAAGGAAAGTGATATTATCTATTGTATACTATTCAGCTATAAAAGTATGAAATTATGAATTTTGCAGGTTAATTAATAGAATTAGAACATGTTATACCAAATGAAATACCTCAGATGCAGAAAGAGGAATAGCACTTGTTCTATTTTATTTGCGGATCTCAGCTCTTAATCTTTAGATGGGAATCTATAACTTGGAGTAACTACCGGAAAATCAAGAGGGATTATGTGGTGAGAAGGATCTCTAGAGAGAGGAAGAGCAGGACATGGGGGAAATAAGAACAATTATGGGATTAACTGAGAACAGTGGATAGTGAGCATTATAGAGGGAGAGGAAAGGGTGGGGGACTAATAACACTAATGGAGTTTGAAAAAGCCATAAGGACATATTTTTAATATTTATCTAAAATTACATTGACTATCTGTATAAGTGTATGTGTTTATGGATATAAATGCTTTAAAATTTATACTATACAGAGTGGTGGTACCCCCACCCCAAGAGACATAATCTATCTAACAAAATCTCAATGCCAGACACAAGGAACCTCTTTTGAATTGCTGGTCATGAGAATATAAAAGACTCCCCCAAAATATTGCTGTTGCCTTTTGTTGTCTTAACAGAATTTGAAGGTAAAATCCTACTGCTGCAGAAACCACACACTTTGAACATAGGACTTGAAGGAATTAAGCTGGAAATGTACCACAAGTGAAAATATAGTTCAAAGGAAGTTTATATCTAGGAGGGATTGAAGGAACCAGATGTCAGGAATATCTCAGGAAAACTCATAGAAACCACAAGTCTGGCTCATGGGAGCTCATAGAGCCTGAACCAACAATCAGGGACCCCACATATATATGACAGTTGTGTAGTTTGGTATATATATGGGACATTCTGCAATGGGAGTAGTGTCTGTCCCTGGTGCTTTGGCTTGCTCTTGGAAAATTATTCCTCATACTGGATTGCCTTGCCAGCCTGAATACAGTGTGTGTGGGGATGCATGGTCTTATGGTAGCTTGATATGCCATGCTTTGCTGAAGGCCATTTGAGGCCTGCCCCTTTGTGAGCTATTGTGGAAGAGGGATGGATTGAGGTGGGATGGAGGGAAGGAGGGAGGGAGGAAGTGGGAGGAGAAGAGAGAGGGAAGGCTTTGGTCAGGATGTAAAATAAATAAATTAATAATAAAAAGAATAAATAAATGTTTTGTAACATATATTCACAAAATAGTTTCCACCTTGGATATGTTAATGGGTCTATGTTATGGTTCTCAATTGGGGTATAGCTTAGAGTGATTGGGGGGATTTTAATAGACCAACTGCCTAAGTACATAGGGAGTTTAGCACAGCAGGGTGGTAGGGGTTGGGTATTTCCCCAGCACTTTTTTTGTGAAGTTCTAGCCAAAGGCTGAGCACACTGGTTTGAATTTGTGGGAAGACTTGGGCATATGGCACTGAAACTTTACCTCCACCCTCTTTCAACTGTCCAGGTTGTTATGCCCAGTCCTCGAGACCCCCAGAAAGACCACCAAGGAGCCCACTCACTGATGCAAATGCACAATTTTTTTTTGTTTTGTTTTTAATAGGATACATGTTTCAGCAGGTACTTCATCCAGCAAGCTGGTGCAGCAGCTGTGGGAGAAGGCCCTGGGCCTCAATCATAAGGGGCTACAAAGTTATACAAAGTTAAGCAATAACCATATAGTTGAGCAAAGTTTGAGCAAGGGTCACAGTGGCAGGTTGATTCGTCATTTATCTTGGGAGGGGATTGGGAGATTTCTATAGCCCTATTTCCTGGGCCAAGTGTGCTCACAGTGAGACAATTATCTGCTTTTCTGAAAACAAAGAGCAGCATTTAGATATTGAACATAGCCTGTGGGTGAATTCCTCTCTCCAGGGTCTAGATGTAGGCCACTTGTCAAGTATGCATATACTTGTCATGTACACAGGTCAAAGGGTTAAGTTCCTCTAACCATCCTTTGTACTAAGCAGGGAGCAATTCTGACCTCTCAAGGTATACTGTGGTAGAAAGAAGATGCAGAAAATGATCTGGAATAGAAATAAACAGTTTGCTATACCAAGCATTGATTAAACAGCGTAAAGATGAGAGGAGGAAGGGAGAAACTGGTCAGGATGTAAGAAAGATAAATAAGTAAACAAATAAACATAAAGAAGGAAACATGTTTCCTTGATCACAGAAACTCCACTACTGAAGAAAAGTATCTTGAAAGAATGGCTGCTTTCCTTTGCTTCCCCTGGCCCAAGCAACCCTCTCACACTGGAAGTGACTGAGGGAGCAAGAGTGGTACACCAAAGAAAAATAGAGAACTGTACCAAGACTATAATCAACTAGTTGCTCCTTTGAGTTGCTGGGGACCCTTTGAAGAGCTGTGCAGAAGGTGCTTCTGAAAAAAATCATCTGCTGGACCAAAGAAGGGAGCATTGATTACCCACTGATAAAACTCTTCCCAGTAATATTAATTGCTTTGAAATTCAAGCTTTGCCAATAGAGCAAAATGGCCACTCAAGCTGCTGATGGTAGCTTGTTCATTTGGTTGCTATAGCAACAGCTGGAATGAAAACGTGTGTTGATGGAGTGCTGGAGTTGTCACATTGAGAGAATCACATTTTCATTTCTTTCTTTAGCCAAGGAAGGAAGATATTGAATTTTAGAAAAACAATCTGTTTCTGTAGCAGTATCATGGATATTTTAGACAGACACTATCCCAATTTGGTATTGTACAACTGTGGTAGATTCTAAATAAGATCTGTTAGCAAGGTCTCACACTAACCAAGCATCTGGGGCAGGTGTTTGCAGGAACCTGACTGACTTGGTCTTTTCATTTTGCTAGCATAGCCACTGCTACTCACAGGACTTAAGTAGTTTAAGATTAACAGGTAACCTTGAATCCTGGTTCATATCTCTCTGGCTGGTGTCCTATAGCTACTTCTTCCAGTTTGAACCATCTCTAGTGGAGAGAGGGAAAAGTTAATGAAACTCTGAAGACATTTATGAGTTTCACAAAAGTTATAAAGCTTTCAAGCCTCAGGAAACTGTAAACAATTGCTAGGGGTGAGCATACTCCAGAAGCAGCTATCTGGTAGTCATGCAAGGGATTGCAGTGGTACAGCTCTCATGAATCATCACCCATGCTGGAGAGGGACACTTTGGTGGTGCAGCTGTCTGCAAGACATGCAGGGGATTGCAGTGGTGCACGTTTCATGAATTATTGATCATGCTGGAGTGGGTAACTGGTGATGAAGCTGCCTGTATCACCCTAT